AAAATGTTTGAAAAGACTCAGCAAATTGCTTCTATTAATTGCACTGTTTGCAGAAGATTGCTTATACACCATCGCCGGTTGGGTGCCACAAATGAGAAACAAGCCCCAAATGGAATTGACGACAAAACGTGCCTGGTCCCCTGTTTCTTCAGCTTTCCAACCGAAATTTGATGTGTTCTTGAGTTTCAGGGGTGCAGACACCCGCAAGAGTTTTGCAGACCATTTGTATGGCGCATTGCGACAAAAAGGAATTAAGACTTTCGTTGATGACTCAGAAAATGAAAGAGGAAAAGCGATTTCTCCACAACTCATTTCAGCAATTGAACAATCAAAGATTGCTGTCGTTGTGTTCTCTGAAAATTATGCTTCTTCAACATGGTGCCTTGATGAACTTTCCAAAATTCTTGAACGCAAGGAAGGGGGAGATGCAGTTCTACCAATTTTCTATTATGTGGACCCCTCTGATACCGGGAAGCATATGAGTAGACTGACTGAAGCCTTAAATCTACATGAAAAAAGGTTTGAGGAAAACATAGAGACGGTGGAACGATGGCGAGCTGCTTTAGAAAAAGCGGCTAATCTCAGATGGAAGAGTTCAAACGACAGGTTGGTATTACTTGTTACTCTCCTAAGATCGTGACCTTGGCTGATCATGCCGTTTGCTTGATGTACTCTTGGATTTGGATTTATTCTTCTGCGTTTAACCTTTTGACGATTTTCCTGGATTCGGCTTAATTGTTTCTTGGTCTGGCCATCCAAATGTTAGTTTCTTAATTTACCAAAAAAATTTCTTCGAATAGCCTAAAATCACCTGCCCCACTGAGGTGAAAACATCCAACTAGAACAGCGTTTTTACTTTGTTTCTTTGTGTTATTTATGGCTCACACTCTTTTTTCTTTTCTTTTTCTTTTCCATTATTCTTGTAGGTATGAACCACAACTCATCAAAGAAATCGTTAATGAGGTACTAACCAAAGTACGCCCTGAGCCTCAAGAAAGGCTGTTCGGAATGTATCAAAGATTGGAGCAACTGGATTTGCTTTTAGATGCAGGATCAGATGATGTTCACTTCATAGGGATATGGGGGATGGCTGGGTTAGGTAAGACAACCCTGGCTAAGACAGTTTATGAGAGGATTCTTCATAAATTTGAAGTCAGCAGCTTCCTTGACAGAGTTAGTGAGGGTTCTAAAGCACATGGTCTAAGTAATCTACAAAGAAACCTTTCCAAGGTCCTCATGAATAAAAATATAGAAGATTGGGATATTCATGGAGAAGCCACAATGAGAAAGGTCTTGTGTGAGAAGAAGGTTCTTCTCGTTCTTGACGATGTGGACCAGATAAGTCAGTTGGAAACCTTATGTGGAAATCAAGATTGGTTTAGATCTGGAAGCAGAGTCATTATTACAACTAGAAATGAACAATTGCTGATTACGCATGGTGTGGAAAGAAGATTTGAGATGCATGAGTTAAATGATGATGATGCGCTTCAACTTTTTAGCTGGAAGGCCTTCAAAAAGGATTTTCCGGATAAAGAATATATGGCTCTTTCAAAAGTTATTTTGAATTACGCCAATGGACATCCATTAGCTCTTAAGGTGTTGGGTTCACTTTTGCATAAAAGAGATCAAGATGCGTGGAGAAGTGCATTGTGTAAACTGAAGGATGCTTTCAAGGGAGAAATTATGGATACACTTAGAATAAGTTATGATGAACTAGAGAAGCAGGAGAAAAACATTTTCCTCGATATAGCATGCTTCTTTAAAGGGAAGTGTAAAGACCAAGTAGTTGAAATACTAGACAATGATGGCTTTTGTTCACGTATTGCAATGGATGTTCTAATTGAGAAGTCTCTGTTGACCATTTCAGATAATATGGTGTGGATGCATGATTTGTTACAAGAAATGGGTTGGGAAATTGTTCGTCAGCAGGCTCAGGAACCTGGCGAGCGCAGCAGGTTGTGGCTTTCTAGGGACGTCTTTCATGTGTTGAAAAATAATTTGGTAAGAGCTTACATGGATACTTGAACTATAGATTAATCTAGAAATCAGAGTACAAAACAGACTTTTATTGTTACTTCTCTTCTTTTCCCTATAATTGCAGATCACTTGTCCTCTATAATATTATGAAATTTACTTGTTTCTTTATTCTTGCTTATTAGGGGACGAACGCAGTTGAAGGCATTGTCCTGGACTTGCCTGAACCTAAAGTGGTACGATGCAATTCTAAAGCCTTTTCTAAGATGGTTAATCTTAGATTGCTCCAAATTTGTAGTGTTCACCTACCCCATGGGCTCAGCTACCTCTCTAATTCCTTGAGGTTTCTTGGATGGAGTGGTTATCCTTTAAAGTCCCTTCCAACAGGTTTCCAACCGGATAAGATTGTTGAACTCAGCATGTGTCATAGTAGCATTGTACAGCTTTGGAGTGGAATAAAGGTGTTTACAAATAACAACTAGAACACAATCTGTTTATTTTAGTAAATTGGAAGTTTTCCTGAATCTAATTATTCTTTATTTGTTGT